GACAAAATATCTCAAACCTAAATTTTAATAGTGTATTGGGTGATTTTAGTTGATCTGAACATTTTTTTATTGACTGTCATATGGTATTGTTTACCATATTTAATATTGTTTATAGGCCTATATAATTTTAAGAAACGTTTGCTGCATAAATTTGTCATATTGCACTAAACATTTTAAAACCAAGATTACTAATATAGTATGTGAACATTAAAGAAATTTCTTGATAGACAACTCAGGTGAGCTTGCAAAACATGAGACAATCCTACCATGTCAGGTGGACGAAACTAGATAAAAGGGAATGAACTAACAATAAAGACACACCTTCGTATCAAGGTGGCAGCCCGCTTTGATGGCTGAGACATGCCTTAAGGGAAAGACATCCGCCCTCCATTGACAATACAACTAGCATCTCAAGTCAATAGTAATGCGTCGGTCACACCTTAGTGATCAGGTGACAGCGGTCATCGCGGAGCTAAGTTTGCCGGAGTGTGCATGCAAACAAACAATTATCAGTTGTGATTACTCAGCTAAGGCCTCTTTCGTTACCTCGCAGAAAGGGTATAGGACATTAGTTTCTGATGATTTTTGTTTATAAAAGCCATAAGTGGAGCAGCAGGCAAAGAGATTTGGAAATGTGAAGTTAGAACATGTCGAGCAAGAGTTCACACAATATATGATCACATAGTATTAGAGAGGTGTGATCATAACAATGTACCTCCCGGTCTAGAAACGTAAGCGTTTCGTTTGTGTTGATGATACAATAAAAACAATAGTTTTACTTTACGAACCTAAAGACCCATTCACGTTTTTAAAAAAATATTTCGTGTGTTTTGAACATTAATGTTGTATAGCGACCGTTACTTTATTTGTTTTTTACATTATCATTTATTATACCTTTCATGAGTAAGTTTGTTTTAATTTTAACTTTTTCAAATTAAATGCTATTAGAAAGATTAAGTTAAATTGTTTAAAACGTCTTTTGATGCTTTGTTAAGTTTAACACATTTACTTTATTCACAATTATTATGTGTAAAAAAGTGAACAAAACCATATTGACAGTCAATAAAAAAAAAGTTCAAGTCAACAAAAATCTTCGTACACACTATTAAAAATTCGATGTGGGATATTTTGTCTGAGATATTTTGTCTGAGATCAATTGTCCGTGGTATCATTTGTCCTGATATATTTTGTCCTGGTATCTTTTGTCCGTGAGATCATTTGTCCTTGAGATCATTTGTCTTGAGATCATTTGTCCTGAGATCATTTGTCCGTGAGATGTTTTGTCTGAGATATTTTGTCTGAGATCATTTGTCCTGAGATCATTTGTCATGGAACCGCTGACTGAGATCTCCCCAGGGTGATCGGTCACGGTTGAAATGTTTAGAACTTGAAAACTTGTTTTCTACACTGGCTGATGATCCCTGAGGGGGATCAATGAGTTCGTATCATGAAACACTAAGCAGGTGAAGTAGAGTACACCATCAACACAGACAGACCAAACTAAGCAGGTGAAGTAGAGCACAAAATCAGCACAGACAGACCAAACTAAGCAGGTGAAGTAGAGTAAACCATCAGCCCAGACAGGCCAAACCAAGCAGGTGAAGTAGAGTACACCATCAGCCCAGACAGGCCAAACCAAGCAGGTGAAGTAGAGTACACCATCAGCACAGACAGACAAAACTTAGCAGGTGAAGTAGAGTAAACCATCAACACAGACAGACCAAACTTAGCAGGTGAAGTAGAGTACACCATCAGCCCAGACAGGCCCAACTAAGCAGGTGAAGTAGAGTACACCATCAGCAGAAAAGACCACCCCCCACCCCTTGTTCTTATCCAGTCTTGTGTACAGCAGCTTGAAGTTGACCTTCACCACCTGTAGAGGACACCGTGGGCAGCAGAGAACAATTCTACTCACGGTATCTGCATAGGAGAACTGGGTTATCTACCATACGAAGTTCATTATTGCACCACGTAACTTGGTTATCTCCCATAAATATGGTTCACCGTGAAATAAAACTTGCAATATCTGCACTATGTAAAATGGGTATTAGGTTCCCACCCCCGCTTACTTGGTTCAGTACTTCACTGTAGAACCAGACTACCAATATCTGCACAATGTAAACTGGGTACTAGGATACCCCCCCCCCATAGGTTACATGGCTCATGAGTTCACTGTAGAACAAAACTACCAATATCTGCACTAGGGGAACTGGGTTACCTCCCATAGAGGTTCCCAATTTTACGTAGTTAGCCTTCTTGCTAGGGTTTTAAATAATTGTTTCCCCCTTAAGCTGCTCTAACAGTCAGGTGGTTTGACGTGACATAAGGAGTTATCCCACTTGGTATGTGACCTTGGTTGTCTCCTCTTCTAGCCCAGAGCTCGTGGCATCGTGGGTAATATATGAAATGGGAGACAATACACGATAGGGGAGATAATATATAATGGGGGAAACACAATATAAAAGGGAAGACAATACATGATAGGGGAGACAAAATACGAAACTGGAGACAAAATATGAAAGTGTAGACAATACAAAATAAGGGAAATAATACATAATAGGGAGGTGGGGGGGGAGACAATGAATGGTAGGAGAGAAAAAGCATAATAGGGGAGATAATAAATGATAGGGGATGTAAAATATGAAAGGTTGAGGACACAGGTATTTAAAGGATGAGGAAGGTCTCAAAGGGCAAGACAAGTGTGAACGATGCACGAAAAAGAATATTCATGTCATTACACAAGCACGTTTTTAAACACATACAATTTTATTTCTCGGCATCTTTTTAGGGGTTTGCACTACGTCACACCAAGAAAGTAAAATAATTTTTTTCGTAACTTCAGAATAGTGTCCGGCATTGTATCGCTTCACGTAGACAGGGAATCCCCGCAAATATAGAACGCCCATATTCTTAAGGCTTGTCAAAGTCCTCGACATTTTGAATTCCCTGGTTTACCTTACATTGGTCACTGTCGATAATTTCAATTTTGGATACTTCTAGAACACACGCACAAATGCATAATTTTTCTGAAATTTAAACTGTAGGATATATTTTCTAACAAAAAAGTCAATTCATACAATTAAAAAAAATGAAATTAATGAGCGTGCCTGAGTTTACTTACAAATTAACGATAAAGGGGTGCGACACGGAGGATAGAATTGCCTTCTCTGATTTGATGTGCTGCTCCTGCTTGAGTTTGATGACCTGTGTGATGGCCATGACCTTCAGGGCACAGTACTCACGTGACTCCTTGTGCCTGGTCAAGACGACCCGGCCAAAGGTGCCGGTTCCTGCAGAGACAGGGGAACAATTAGTTTAATTAATTAGATTAATTAATTAGTTTGATATCCATTATTGGCACTTGTCTAAAGGCGTATTTCAGTAATCACGTAATTACTAACTTCTATTTTAAAGCTTGAGTTGATAAATCTAGTCTAAATAAAGAAATTACGTACAGAGTGGCTTAGGTTTAGCAGTAACGTGTGTAAGTCTTAATGGTTGAACAGACCCGTATCATGGGACTACATAAACCCCGTATTGTAACATGTTACTGAGTTTGTAGATTTGCAGATGTGAAAAATTATCAGAAAATATCCACAAAACAGATAGCATCATAGACATGATGGGAATGTATGCACCGATAAAAAAAACCAACATGTTAGGAGTTCGATAATGAAAGTCTCATCAAGGGACTGATTGACTCATTAGTTATTTCTAAATTAAGTCAACGTTGGACATCCCGTGGTCATATTTAAACTCATTTAATAAAATAGCATCAATTTAGTTATTATTTCAGAAATAATGCTTTTATTAAAATAGGACTTTTTAAATATCAAGATAGCAGCTATACTAAAGTTCGCCATTAAAACAATATAAACTCACTACTATAGAAAAATAAAGTTACACCTTTAAATCTGGCGGTCATTGGGTAGGTGAAGTAGAGTTCACCTGATCCCATGACCACGAAATATGAAGGGATAGTTTGGTCAGTGCTATGCACAGTCGCTTTTACTGTCCACAACTTGAGTCAGGTACTCATCAGAGATGGGTTGACTCAGGAAGTAGTCTGGGATCCAAACTCAAGACTTTAGTGTCAGCAGTCGTGCGCTATACCACCCGACCACTCAGTACCATAAACTCGTGATCAAGGACCAGTTGAATGAAATACTGTCCACAATATTGGAGTATATTTTAAGCTGCAGCATTTACGTTGCCCCAGCAACACATTCCTGCAAGATTTCTGGCACCGACCTATCCGTCTGTGCCACGATACACATGTTTCTGGTTTGGTCTAGATCCTGCCATCCTTAAGAAACAGGTGGGGTGTGTGCGGATAGGGGGACTAGATCTACAGGCTTACGTCCGTGGACTGATTAGCGGCTAAATGTCATCTCAGGTTGGTATAAGGGCTGATGGTAAGAAAATCTCTTGGAAATAATATATTGGTGGTTTAAATTTAATCCTAAGGTGCATAAGGGATATATTAGACTATTTATTTTATACAATATCAAATTTCTAAAAGTCTTAACAGATAGACTATGTTTTGTATAAAAAGAAGGTAATAGAAAGTTACAAGTAGGTACAGTAAGACACGAAATGAACGGCTACTAAAACGACCGGCTGGGGTTATTTTCACAGAGTGTAGACAACTTGAAAGCTTACAAGATAGAGACACGTTTACTTCATTTGATACAGTTTGGTGGATGATGTACGCCTGCCTATTTGGGACGATCCGTGCTTATTGCGGTCAAATTCACAGTTAAACGCACACTGTTCAACTCACAGTTAAACTCACACTGTTAAACTCACGCAGTTAAACTCACGTCGTTAAAGTGACACACATTAGTATTAATATTCAAACTCACACGTAGCCACGCTTATACCAAATGACACAAAAAACCCACAGACACATCCACTGACAAACTAGCACATACATTTACACGCAAACTTGTTCTTTCTCTCACACATAGACACATACACACACACACGTACTCCATTTCGCCCCGCCAACGAAACTGCATGAATATACAAAGCGTGCAAAAACAAACAAAAAAACGAAATCAATCTTCCAAAACTATTATGCAAGTCAGTTTACATAACAGTTTTTATCAATAACAAGTGCAAGTCGGTCATACATACCCATCCTCCCCCTATCGTATTATGTCTTCCCCCCCCCCCCCTCCCCGCTCCATCAACAAATACACTCCTTATAAACAAAATGATAATTTGTAAATTTGATTTGATTTGGTTAGCCTTGCCAAGTGATTAACATCTAATTATCACCTGCCGCGCGTGCAGCCATGTTGTGTTGGTGTGTGAGTACTTGTGTGTGCGCGTCAATGTGTGTGTGCTTGTCTACATTAGCGTGTGTGTGTGTGTGTGTATCTAGGTGACCCAGTTCTGCAGTACTATTTCAGCATCAGAAAATATTTGTTTTGATATTTGCTGATATGACCAGTCTCAACGACTTGAAATAGCTCTGGAAAACAGAGCATTAAAAACATTTGGGCGGGGTTTCTATGGTGAAATGTCGACACAGCCAACAAAAGATTTCTCTGGTATCGCTATCAAACTGATGTGTTGATGACGTCATTTATACGTGACGTCACAATCACATGCAACAAGCGGGGTCGGACTTTAGAAAATCACAGACAGCAAACGTTGCTCCTGTCTTTACAATAAATGTTTCCTGTACATTTTTCTCGCATCTGAAAATCGAAAGATCATGAACGCCAGTGTAAATAACTTACATTTCAATTTACGACGCTTTTCATGATGCCTTTGATTTCGGTAAAAATCACATTTTGAAGTAAACAAAACCAGCGAATAACGTGAGGTGTGTACAATATGATATCATTGCGTGTAGCATAACGTGAGGTGTGTATAATATATCATTGTATGTAGAATAAAGTGAGGTGTGTACAATATGATATCATTGCGTGTAGCATAACATGAGGTGTGTATAATATATCATTGTATGTAGAATAAAGTGAGGTGTGTACAATATGATATCATTGCGTGTAGCATAACGTGAGGTGTGTATAATATATCATTGTATGTAGAATAAAGTGAGGTGTGTACAATATGATATCATTGCGTGTAGCATAACGTGAGGTGTGTATAATATATCATTGTATGTAGAATAAAGTGAGGTGTGTACAATATGATATCATTGCGTGTAGCATAACGTGAGGTGTGTATAATATATCATTGTATGTAGAATAAAGTGAGGTGTGTACAATATGATATCATTGCGTGTAGCATAACGTGAGGTGTGTATAATATATCATTGTATGTAGAATAAAGTGAGGTGTGTACAATATGATATCATTGTGTGTAGCATAACGTGAGGTATGTATAATATATCATTGTATGTAGAATAAAGTGAGGTGTGTACAATATGTTATCAGTGTGTGTAGAATAAAGTGAGGTGTGTATAATATATCATTGTATGTAGAATAAAGTGAGGTGTGTACAATATGATATCATTGTGTGTAGCATAACGTGAGGTATGTATAATATATCATTGTATGTAGAATAAAGTGAGGTGTGTACAATATGTTATCAGTGTGTGTAGAATAAAGTGAGGTGTGTACAATATGATATCGTTGTGTGTAGCATAACGTGAGGTGTGTACAATATATCATTGTATGTAGAATAAAGTGAAGTGTGTACAATATGTTATCATAGTGTGTAGTTTCATTTTAGTTAAGAGCTTATTCCTTCAGATCGATTGATCGATACCAATGTGTTTTATTGATTTAAACGATTTGTTGTATAGCTGAAGTGTGTAGAGGTAGCTCAGGTTTTAGCTCATTAGGATGTGCGAGGGTCTGAAGGTAAAGTAGAGTGATGGATAAAACTTTTTTTGTAACTAATAGGGTTGTACCAAGGACGTATTTTGTTTTGTTTTTTTGTTTCATGAATCCTAATCCAAGATTGTAATACTTTTGTTTCAAATACGTTAACGAATTTTTTAGAAATAAATATGTAATCGTCCAATATAAGCTAAAATTCGATTGTTTTACAAGAAAATTAAATGTCATCTGTTTTTTTTAAAGCAGGGTAACAAAATTGCAATTAGTATGTGTACATAACGTAACCATGGACGTTGTCAACATCTAACTGCGAACATAGCCACAACCCAGTCTGTCGTAGTACGAGGTACGGCTAATCCAATAAATTAAGCACGTTAACTTTTTGTCTTTACTAATTATTTTAGTTCCAGAGTTTCTGGAATAATCATTCTTTCTTGCTTACATTTTCAATAAAAAAAATATATTATAATGAGTATTTAATTAGTTGTAACCTTAATTAGATTATGCACTGAGCACCCATTACTAGCATCCTCACCCACACTAAACATACAGAAGCAAACCTCTACCCCCTCCTCCCCTTCCCCCCCCCCCCACTGTGTCTAAGGTTAAAGGCCACAATTCCAGACAGCTTTGGCGTCCCAGAGTTTCGCAACCTGCGTTCATTGATTAGCGATGCGTTTCGGTGCGTGCCGGTGCAAGTGTAAAAAGTTAACCGGTCTGCCGTAGCGCGGTGCAGTTGATTGAGGAAGCAGATCTCTGACAGGTACGCTGTGTTTTTGGATAGGGCGTGGCTACGGTGAACGCCCTCACTAGCATGACTTATATCTGACTTAAAATCGATGTTGATTGATTTTTTTTCTATTTTTAAAAATGTTTCAACTACGCGGACTTCTGAGGTTAGAATAATTGAACGCACACCACATTGGCAAGCGTCCATGTTTAAGTAAATGTGTGTTATAATATATGGCCTGGTTAACTCTTTGTACAGCGTAAAAGGATGGCGTGGTGTAGCGATAGAACGAGGTGACCTTAGAAGATCAGTACCAAGGGTTCAGACCTAAGTCTTCAGCCGACCAGGCTCCCCCTCCACCCCCTCTTTCAGCTCATATCCATGCGCTTGTGGGACAACCGGCTGCAATTTGAACACGAGACATGCATTCTGCTACCGTATACCTCGGTAAAGAGCACTGACGGAGTCGGTTAGACCTGTACTTAACATAGACAGACCGTCAAAAGGCTGTAGTGATTGAGGTATGGAACGCTCAAAATAAAACACCTACATATGTAGAAATTATATTTCTTGCAAAATGACATCGGTTTCGCTAGAATTATTTTTTCAGTAAATGTCACATGGGCCCGTTGGCCTTATATCACCTGTAGGATGACACACGAATGTCATCAGCATTATAACACCTGTAAAATGACATATAGATGTCATCAGCGTTATAACATCTGTAAAATGACGTGGATGA